GTCAGTTATGAGTAAGTCACATATCCAATAAAGGGATTTGGGCTTGGAGATGTCAACATTTCTTATTCTGATACCCAAAGGAAACACTGGATAAATGTCCGTCCATCTTCTTCGCTATGTATGTCTTGATCTTGGCCATGAAAGGCAGTGAAAATGGCCACCTGGTTTGCCAAAGCTGGACAGGTGATGGTTGGGAAGATTTCAGGTGTAAACCTGCCAACTCCCAATATCCTATTGCTGCTGGAGGACCTTTGGTGATTCAAGCACTGGAGGATGGGGCTACCTCAGGAGGTGCTCCACCCCCAGGCCAAGACACCATGCAGAACCCCCCCCCCCCCCCGGGAGTCTTTTGCGTAGCTTGTACACATGTGAACACACTCGGTATGTTCATAATGCAGGAAAAAGGGCAAAGAGGGAAAACTGTAATGACTGTACACAGTTACAACATTGGGGGGCTTTTCAACTTTTCATTTTGAAGACCAATAATAGGGGATATGATGCAAGGTTTATGTATGATGGAATGCAAGTGGACAGAGAGAACGTTTCCAGCTCTCTTAAAATACCAGAAGGCGGTGAGATCATCCAATGCAGCCGAGACTCAGGACTTTTTCACCCAGCACCTGGTTAACGTCTGGAATTCTCCAGTACAGCATGTGGGAACGATCATCAGCTTGGAGCACTTGAAGAGAGGATTAACCAAACTGGAGGAGGGGAAGGTCACCTCTGCCTTCTACTCAAGATGGTCCTGGGCCTGCTGGTCTTGGAGACACCACCGTGCAGGACATTGTGGTTTGCATGCTTTTCCCCCAGAGGATTTGGCCATCGTGGGACCAGAAACTTGGGCTACCTGGACAGATCCTCTAGTTCAGTGTTTCTCAACCTCAGCAACTTCAAAATGTGTGGACTTCAACCCCCAGAATTCCCGTCAGCATGGGGAATTCTGGGAGTTGAAGTCCACGTGTCTTACAAGTTGCCATTGTTGAGAAACCCTGGCTCAGACAAGACTTAGGCATATCGTCAGTCGAACACCTGTAACCGCAGCGCTCCTTCGTGTGCATAGAAAGAGGCTCGTTTCCTCCAGAGGAAGCCTGCTAACTGAATCTCCTGCCCAGGTAGGAATGGCTTGCTTCCTTTGGTGGCAAAACGTGGCACCTCTGCCACAGCTGTCTTGGATGGCCTGCCCATGCAAATTATGCAAATGGCTGTTCATCAGAGGCAGTCTTTAGGTTTGGGTCAAGGCAGGAATGCCCCCTCTGCATCGGTGGCCCCATGCCCGGGGAACGGATGCCTTGATCTCTGCAAACCAGCGCTTCCCATTTTGCAAAAGGTGAGAGAGGTTTCATATGAGAAGCCAAGTGTATTTTGGAAAGGTGTTCCCAGGATAATCCAAAACCTGAGATGAAAAGCTCCCAACTTCTCTGAAGAAGTTGCTTCTTCAGCTCCCTTTATCCCCCTTGGCTACTCCTGAACCCTGGGGTCTGCAGTGAAACACCCAGGGGCTCACTGGGCCTGTCAAGCAGGCCACCCGGGCATTTTTGACCCGGGGGGGGACCTCTGCTGCCAGGAATCCCCCGGAGCTCTGCTGCTGAAGGGGGGCCTTCAAAGCCTTCCCTCTTCTGACAGCAGAGAGGACAAGGGATGGATGTTAAGTGCACTTTAGAAGTCTCCTTCTGTGCTCTACGTGGCTCTCCTTGCCCCCCTTTTCCCCTGGGCTGGGGGCCTCCCTCAACCAACTGCCGGCCTGGGAGTCTGCCGCCAGCACTGCAGCGCCACATATGCAGCCACCAGTGAAACTGGACAGGGACAAACAACAGCTGTTTCCAGCTTCCGTGTCCCGGACAGAGAAGAGCCAGATATGCTCACGGAAGACAGCTGGGTCTGGGCCTCCACGCCTCATTAAACACCGAAGAAGGGAAAGCAGCGCTCAGGTACAGAGCCGAGATGGCTCCTTGCTGCGCTGCGGTCCCTCCCGCTGGCTTTTCACGAGCTGGTTGTTGTGAAAAAGCGGGGGCGATGGGGAGGGGGCGCGCCCCGGGGGTGGAACACAAGGAGCCCAAGCCTACCTCTACTGTCCCCTTAAGGCCTGGATCGGATCAATCAGAGAAGCAAGGCTGGCTTACAGCATCCCAAGCAGAAATACTGGAACTATTAGACGCATCAGGAATCGAGACGCCGAGGATCAGGCGCCTTTCGGTTCAGATTCGATCTCGGGAAAGGCTGGCCTTCAAGCACCATCTCACGGTTCAGCCCCACACATTGGCCTTCGTGCTGGCGGGACCCCTAAGGCAGCTGCACCCCGTGAAGGACAAGGGCTGAAAGACCCAGGTGCCTTGAACCGTTCCCCGCAGAATTCAAGCCAAGTCAATTTGAGCACAACCTCCTGCAATGGGCAGGGTGGGTTTCAGACCCACCCTTTTCACTGCCACACCCGCCTGGCAGAGGGGGCACTCGCGAGCACTTGGCACAAGGCAGCACTGCTCTTCCCCCTAAAACTAAAGCACACCTCCTGTCGCTGGATTCTGAGCAAAGGGGCCATTTCCACAGGGACACGGGGATCTTCCTGACTCCTTGGGATCCAGACCAGCAGTTGCTCTCCAAACCTTCGGCCTGATCAGGTCTTGGGGCACTGAACGGGCCTCTCTTGCAAGCAAAGCAGACGTCCTACCTTCTCCAGTGCAGCAGCATTTCAGGAGACCAGTGGGCGATCTTGCCTGCCTCCCTCCTTCTGGCCTCTGTGTCTTAGTCGGTGGAAGCGTTTGAAAAAATGTTCATTTTGCTGAAACTCTCTCCCCAGATCCTGACCCACCTACCTAGGCCAGCAGAAACTAGTGTGGACTGAGAAGGCAAATCAGCCAGCATGTCAACCCAAGCCACCTTTCTGCGTGTTCCCAGCCTAAGAGTTTAAAAGCCTGCCCAAGAGAGACACGCATGTTACCTCGGGGACAGCAGCAGCAGCAGCAGCAGCAGCAGCAGCAGCAGCTATGGCAATATCCGGTCACTTGATGCCGACACGGCTTCTGCTTACAAGGGGCCCGTGTGCACGGGGCAAACAGAACCCATCTCATTCAGTTAGTTGATCCAGGTGTGACGGGGCCTGCCAGGCTCCCCGAGGAACCACCCTCTGAGGCTGCGCTACTCAAAGGCCGCCTGGCAGGGCGGAAGGTCGGCTTCTCGGCAGGTGAGTTAAGAGACCTCTATGGGAAGCAGGTGAGGGAGGCTGGCCTCCAGCTGGACCCCCCCCCCGAAGCCATTGTGCTCCCCGTGCGCAGCCTTGCTGCGACCATCCAGATGGCTGTGAACCCTAAAGCTACAGAACACACAACGCAAGGGGAGAATTACGAAAGACTTTTCATTTTATACACAGAGTATGTACATCAGGGTTATCCATGCAGATTCCAATAGAAAACTCTGTACAAAAGAAAACAAAACAGGACTGTTCCAGGAAACGTGTATGTTGGAAGCTCCAGCAAGAAGATAGTCCAGAAAGTGTCAGAGAGTCATATACAACATGACACAAGGGAGAACAGGAAAGGAGAACGGACTTAAAAGGCAGGGCCCAACAGACATGGCGACCACACGAAGGAAAAGACGGAGTCCCTGGCCACTTCCAAACTGATTTGCATTTATGCATATAAAAAGAGCAACTGTGTGAATTTGGCCATAACTGGTGAATTAAAGGAAGGCGATACAAAAGGAATGGACACCAATCGAGGAGGAGGTTTAAAAAAAAAAAAAGACCCCCACAAACACAGAATGAATCACCTGAACCCTTTTGGTCCATGGAGGTCCCACAGATCATTCAACAGTTTGCACAACTCTCTGTTTGACCCCATCACAATTAAGCATCAACGTGGCTTGGCAGGCATCCAAACTCACATTGCGGCACTCTCACTGTGCTTGGATCGCTACCAAAATTTCAAAGAAATGGAAGGATGTGGGTCACAAGAATGAAGCCTACTATGGACTGGATGTTGTGGAGGACAGTGCCTGTTCCATAATCAACCATTTTTATGAGCTAATTATTTACTTCTTTGTTGCATCCATGGATTAATTATCTGACTTAGAAACCCCTGGACAACCCAGATATTCTCTGCACAAACAAGTCTGCAGATGAATCATACAGAGGCCAGATTGTGAGAAGGGGAAATTTATAAGGGGACGGGGCAGAAAAATCAGATTCATGAAAAAACAAAATAAAAGTGATTAATACATGGAAGAACTAGACACACCCACACCCGCACACACACCCATAAAACAATACGAGTTTGCTTTATTTACCCAATGCCTGGGGGGGAGGGGGAGAACTAAGAATTTCATTTACCTCTATTTTTCCATTTGTTTATCCTTAAGACAGGATGCTTTCCTCTTAATTTAAAGGGAGCTAAAATCTTACCACTTATAACCTTAAAAGCATCTAAATCAACAAATAACAAAACCAATGAATTGCTAAAGACCCAATTTTCCCAGTAAGGCACCCTGACACCATGCCCATACTGGCTGGAGGTTAGGGCAACTGAACTCCAATATATACAGAGAACAACCGACTGGGGAAGGCTGATCTAAATATAAACAAATAATTTCATGCATTTTAATTTAACATGAGCTCACAATTGCATCTTAATGCAGAACAAATGGAGAAATGAGACTTCAAGAATTCGAAAGACTCAGGTCCCCAAGGACATTTGCAAATTAGAGGAGAAGCCTTACATAAACACTTCTGGGTTCACTTTTATTGAGCATTAGAACAGGCAGGCAGAAATCGGTCTCACGCCCAGCGAGAGCCACTTCCAACATGCCTTTGCCACAAACCCCATCTCGTGCCAGGGCATTCCTTGGGAGGCTTGAGGATCTGTGGGGCAGAAGAGACGTCTCCTCAGGGACCTCCCAACAAGACTTTCCAGAGCCCTCTGGAGAATTGTGTCTTCAGAGGTGGACAGTTGCTGGTACTGAAAGCAATCTACGTGGAGAAAGGAGAAGAACCCTCCTCTTGCAAAGAACCCTTTTTAGTGCCTCACAATCTATACTGTAGAGGACAGCAAACTGTCCTGCGTGAGTTCAGCTGTGGTGCTTTGCTCTTAGAAGGACGGACTACGGTAAAAGAAATTCTAGGCTGGAATCCAAACCCAATTTAGACAGAGCGCAGAAACAAGCAGGCATCTTTTTGAAGAACAACGGCTCTCTTCTCCCTGCCTCCAACAAGGCAGTCCAAGTCTCAACAGGGCTGTCATCGTCCGGAGGAACACATCTCTAAATATCATTGGCACAGAAGCCACCCAAAATCAATTTTGGATCCTAATTCTTACTTGGCACGCGTGTCCCAGAGTAACTGCCCCCAGGAGAGAAGAGGAAGACAAGGGTAACAGACATGAACAAGGACTTCTTGCCTCTTCAAAATCCACCTCTATGCAAGTATCATATATATGAATGACACCCACCTTGACTCTTCAGATTGGGCTGAGCTCATCTGCACCCACCTATTCTTATCTCTCCCCAAATTTTTTATACTGAATTAGACTAAGATTTGTCTTCACTGGGAGAAGGACACCAAACTGCCCTGGCAAATAACTCTCTATCCCAAAGCTACCCAAAGGCAGAATTCATCTGAGCATTTTTCCTGAAATGGAAATAAATAAGAATTTAATTTAAAAACATCCTTAAAAGCTTCATTATATTCAATACATTTTCCATTTGATCAAAGGGCTCCCACTACCTCAGGTAATACTATGCAGGAATGGGGGAAGGTCATGTCAACCCTCGCTTGGCACATGGGGGGAGAGAGATCACCGTACGAGCTACCTCTACAGTTGAACCGCAGCCCCAACTTCACCCAACAATAGCAACATCCTTCTTCTACTAACACTGGAATTCTTTGGGATACAAAAAAAGTGCAAAGAAATTAATTTCTTAATTATTTCAACAAGAAGATAAATTAGTCTAACCAAATTACTCTACAGGTAAAAGCTGAACCTTAATAACTAGGATGTGGAACAATGGAAATACTAATTTTAAAAACAGAGCAATGCAAATCTTTTTCTAGGCATCTCAAAATGCTATGGGGCAGGTCTCCCTCGAGATGCTTCCCTCTCAGACATCTCATGGACCCTGGGAAGGGGAAGTCCTCTGCAGAGAAGGGGGGGACTCGTAACAGAACTCAGGGTTGGGGACCATCTCTCAAGCCCCCAACTGCTCCAACAGGCAGAGCATAAAACAGTCCCCCAAATGAAGAGCAACACTGAAAGAACGGGGGGAGCGGGGCGGCTTGCAATACTGGCTGTTCTCCTGAAAGGTGGCAAAGGACGAGGCCACCACAGATGACACCTCAGAATGAGCTGTCATGCAGAGACATACCATTCCTCCTTCTCATTCCCCCAGCTGTAGCTCCTTTCCACACACACACTCCCCTTGCAACCCCACTGGAGTGGGTCTGGAGGGGCAGAAAGGAGCAAGGCAAACTGATTTGCAGTTAGGGGGTCACTGTCCACAATGCACAGAAGTAACAGCTCAATGCCCTAAAACCAGCCAGGGGGACAAAGATTTGATAAACGCCACTAAAACGTTTTCACTATTTTATGACCTTCCCCATTTAAAAACAACAACAAAAGGTTGTATGAAGTTGGGAGCAAACTGTGAAAACCTGACTATCACAATATAAACCTGAGATTATTCTTTTAAAAAAAATTTTTTTTTGGCAGTTTTACTGAAATGCTTTTAACTAATACGCTTCTGTAGGATTCTCAATTAAAATCACTACATGTCATTATTTATCCCAGACAAGGAAAATAACTTTTGAAACATCCACTGACCAACAAATACATTAAAAATGATTACATATCAAATTAAATATGATAAATAAAAGCATATTTACATTTTTTTCCTAAAAACCAAACTTAATAAATTCAAAGTGTGCAAACTGAAGAACATCCAACATTCAGATGTTAGTCCTTTAAACTTCACGTATTACCAATCTTACAAAAACCTAATATTTAAAAATACGCATTGCATCTATTGAGACATAAAGAAACTGCAAAAATGTTTAAGACTAGTAAAAGAGTTATTACACAGGCACTTCACATGTAAACAATCTACAGTACAACTGAAAAATATTTTGGCACCAATCTAGAATACTGAAAATAACCACACAATTTGTCCTTTATATTGTATACTATTCTGTCATCGCCAGCATACACCCAACTAAAATATTGGAAATGGTACAATAGTAAGAAGTGCAAGAAATGAAGGATGCAAATCTTCTCAAAACTGGTCAAACTGGTTCTGTGATTGCTCATCCAGATTTTCTACTATGCTATAGTGATTTTTTTTTTTTTTTGGCAAATGTACATGAAAATAATATATGTCTAAACTTTTAAGGTAAATGCCATTTTAAGAGCTGCTTTACTCCATAATGTCCCAGACAGAAAAATGCATGTTTCTCAAAATGTCACCAAAAAGCCAGCAACTGGTTAGGATTTCCCACCATAAGCATTTCTAAAAGCGATGCGCTTGTCTTTCCTTGTTAAATGTGTGCTGCAAGACCTAAGAGGAACACTAATACAATTTAATAATTTTTTTATAAAGTCAATTAAAAAAGAAGAATGCAAAAGATATGACAAACGAAGGGGAGAACTCCGAATGCGTTCTACCTGGAAAGAGAACCGGATGGCCTCGAAATCTCTTATGGCTCTCAGTAAAAAAGAAAGGAGGTGTTTTTTTTTACGCTGCCAGGGAATTGTCAGCTGACATCCAGGTTCCAAACACACATCCAGAACACCTGGCCAGCACTGACGTTTAATGGCTTGGGAAGTTCCTCTGGAGGAAGTGAAGATATTTGGGATTGATCCAACACACGTCACGGCAGTCAGTTCATTCTGCAAGAGCCTGATTACAGGCAGGAGAGCTGTGATGCTTTAGAGGAAGGTATTTCAAGAAGAGCCTGAACTGTGAGTCCAACTTTAACTAGCCCTCTTTCTTCCAAAATGTGATGGGGCAAGCAAAGTCTTTCCTGGAAAAGGAAGAGAAGCCTCTTTTAATATTTTTCTCCAAAACAGATAAAAAGTCAAGCTAATTAGGAAACGCACTTCCTTCAAACATGTTATTCAAAGACCAAGGTGTCAAAGGAGGCCTTACTTCAAAGGACCCAAAGCACCCTAGCTGGAATGTTTATTTCTGAGTCCCCCCGAAGCGAAATTACAAGTTGCTTCTCAACCTCTGCATGGCTTGAGGAACAGCCTTGCTGTCCTGGTGGAACTGGAAGGAGGAAGAGAAGGTGCAAACTGAAGCTCAGCCTGGGTGCCTGGGCTTCCTAATGCCACGGTGCAAGAGACTGTCAGATTTCCCACAAGCCACTTTTGGCCAGCCCCAGCTTTCAAGGCATCATTTGCTTTCAGCCTCTCATGGGAAATTCTGCCACACAAATCCTCTTTCTCTGCAAGAGAATGGGATGGCGGGAAGGGCAGGTTTCATTCAGGGGACGGCTGCAGTTCAAACGGGTCTCACCACCATAGGAAATCAAAATGCCCTCTGCCTTTCCCCATGCGACCGTACGTTTTTCTCTTTGAGATGCACAGAAGCGTCTACCTTCTTAATACTCTACAGCAGGGTTTCTCAACATTGGCAACTTTAAGTTGTGTGGACTTCAACTCCCAGACTTCCCCAGCCAGACGTTGAGAAACACTAGTCTACCGGGTGTAGTGGGGATCCAAGCTCAAAACAGCACCCCCAAACGCATCTCTTCTGAACAAATTCATTCTCTGTCTACCCTGATTACTAAACCCGTACCTGGAGAGGGACATTATTAGAGAATAATGTCCACAACAACTGGAGTCATTAAGCACCTCGGCAATTTACCTGCGGCACACCCAGTTTTTTACAAGCATCCAGGAAATTTTCAACATTTCTTCGGCATTTTGCCATACTGAGCTTAGGCTGTTAAGAGAGAGAAGGAGAACCATCAAGAGAAATGTTCAACCAAGAATGCACCCGGAGGAGCAGAAGGGGCAAAATATGTCTGTCAACTTTATTCACAAGATTAAAGGGGATTTACTTAAGGCTCCGAAAAGGTCCAAAATACGAGTCTGGAACTAGTCTTCAATTATGAGAACAGGTACACAGCTTACTCACCACAGCTGGTGACGGGACATGAATGCTGGCAACAGACCGTGGTCTTATATGGTTGGCCAGGTGGCACAGAACCACCCCATCCATGAGCGCAGCTCCAATATCTTCGGGCAAGCTGACTTTCAACCGCGACTCGAGATTCTGTGGCAAAGAAGGAGGCACACTGAAGATAAAAGATCACGGTTCTCAGGCAGTTTTGCAAGATATTAAGTTTTGCACTCCAGCGGGCCACTGGGTACAAGCATTACTGATCCAGGAAAGCAAGCAGCCCCAGCATCTGTCCTATTAAAGGAAAATTACATTGCGCAGCTGCTTAATCTGTTCCCTTTCTTCCCGCAGATGCTCCATTTTCCTTCTCATGGTGAATCCAGGGTCTACAGTGCTGTAGTCTTGACGAGAACGCCCAAACGCTAAAAATGGAAGCAGAACATGTAAAACAAGGTTGTTTTAGAGAACAGCTCGCACAGTGCACTGGCAGCACCTCCCCCCTCCACCATTATTTCTGTTCATCTCAAATTCAATAAATTAAAACTGTTTCTACGTATGACAACTGCGTTAGTCAAACAAGCATCAGTAGGGGGGGGTGTGTGTTTCAGAAATGGATGCCGCATACAGAGACCACGGAGAATTTGTGCAAAGGAACAGAAACCGGGAGTGCTAGTTGTCAACTAATTCTGTTTGTGTTAAAATAAAGGGCTCTTGATCGATGTGGGAGAGAAATGTCCAGCTAGATGAGAGACAGGCCACTTGCCCTTTACTAGCACAAGCCCCTCGACTTAGTAGTGGCAACCCAAGATCCCACTGCGTCCCTGTGGGGGCTGCAAGGCAGGGCTTCTGCCACCAAGGAACTGACCCTCCGTGTCAGCCTTTCTGCCGGAGTGCCCTGGAAGAGTTTCCTATTGTCACCGTTCTTTTAAAAAGAAAACGGTGAAGTTTCCCCTTGCGTTTGGCTCCGTTCACCTCCTCCGTGATGCCTTTGGCAACACAGCTGCCTGGTCTTCTCCCGCCCTGCCTGGCCCTTAACTGTCCACCCCTTGTTCTAAACTCAACCCCTCTGTCCTCAAACCCCCAACACCAGCATCTTCTACACAACCTGTCTTCTGGCACCCACCAGTTGCAGCCCTCACCTGATCGGGGCTTTAGTCCAAAAGGGCCATGAGAATTCCCGTCTGTCCGTTCATAATCCTGGAAGGGGGCAGGGAGGAGAAGAGAAGCAAAGCTGTTAGAGGGCCACGGAGGGAACTCAAAGGCATGCAAGCATCTGACATCAAGGTGCTTTAGTCTTCTCACTTGGCTGGAAAATTACCATACAGAGAAGATGAACAGCGCTTGCCATCTCCCATTTCCCTCTTCTTGTCTGGCAATAAGAAGCTGGGGGCCCGCTGCCTTGGGGGCCATAGCACGGAGGCTTCCTGAGAAAGGTGCATTAACTGCTTATAAAATGACAGGCCAGGCCAGTGCAGTGCCAGTACACAGAGCTTCATGGAAGTGGGAAGGGAGACATTCTTTCAAAAGGTTCTCCGAAAATCCATTTGGTAACATGCTTCTTAAAAATGGAAAGGAAAGTGTTCAAAAACTTAGAAACCTTAAATAACTTTTCTGCTTCTTTCAAACATACATTGTGGCCAACGCATGATATAGTTCAGGTCATTCTTCAAGTGAACTTCTATTCTGTAGGCATCTCCAATTACACAAAAATTGCATGTTTCGGTCAAAATCCGCTGTGTGACATTAACACACATATACAGAGACAGACAGACAGAGACTTGTACCTCAGATGACACGGGGGACTGTGGAGACACATTAGTATGATCACTGTCTTGCTAAAAAAGAACAAAACCAAGAAGATGGAAATTATATGATGAAATGTTTTAAAAAGAAAAGTTTGGCAAGACAATATATAAATGTGCATGCGTACAAAAACATATTTTCCCAAACAGAGACAAACTGCTAAACGCATGAAGATGCCAGGCTTGGAGACGCCATAACAGTAACATCTGAGCGTGGCTCCCTTGCAAAAGGATAACACCGTCGGCCAAGGGCCCAGAGTAGCGCGGCAAAGTCGCCTGTTGGGCAAATGGGATTCCACTATCATCTAAAAATCAAAAGGAGCTTCTGCCTTTTAATAAAACCGGCTAGTCAGAAAAGGTGCTATCAGATATCCCTGGTTTTTAAGATGCTTCTCCTTCTACATCATCAGCTAAGGAACTTTGCTGGACCAGTATCTACAAAGCTACTGCTGCCCTTAAAGCATTAGTGATATAAATTTGATTTATAAATAAATAAATAAAACTAAACATTACAAATAACTTCTCTTTTTAAGCCTTTTTAAAATGTGAGATCTGTTCCCCTCGATCACCCTAAATTTTTACCAGATTATGGCAGATAAATTCTTCCCTATTTTTATGTTTGGTGATTTATTAAAGTGTGTAGAATCTATCCTTCTGCAAATTCCAGGGCTGCATAGAATTAATAGAAACCTATGTTTAAAAAATGGCAGAACACTGTAAAATCAGCTTAGAATGTAAGACCAGTTCCTGGCCAGGCCAACTGAGATTTTCAGGAGTGGCAGTCTCAACAGACTTATGAGAATATCACGTTGCTTTAAGCCATATCAAACTAGCGGGCTGTCAGTGTAAATTATTCTTAAACACCATTTCTTTGCGGGGGGGAGGGAAATACAGGAAGATTCTACAGAACAAGAATTTAAAGTAAGAACGATATTAACCAAATCCTGGGTTTCCACCATTAAGTTTCATTTTCTATTACACTCCTAACTTACCTCATCATTTTCATTTCCACTGGAACTCTTCCGCGAAGACTTGTACTGAAAAACAGTCAGGTTTTATATTACGTGGTTTTTGAAGCCCGTGTTTTTTTTTTTTAAATCACTTCTGATTCTCTGCTTCATCACTCTGACCATGTTGTCAGTCCGTCCTGAGGACAGGACAGAGACCCAGGGCTATTCTGGCAGGGCAGCAGAGTCTCAGGATGCTCTCTTTGGGGCTTAAAATGCTGGTCAAGAAACCATATATAATGTTTAGGCTCAGTGACAGAGACAATGAACTGGACTGGCTCAGCAGATGCAGAATTGCATGACTGACCAGCTCTCCATAGAGAAATGTTCATCAGCACATATTCCCATAATAATCCTACGTGTGTTTCCTTAAGAATAAACTCTACTGCCCTCCAAGTGATTTATTCCCTAGCAGGCATTCTAAGATGACACTGTACACCTATTAAAGTAGGCCTGTATCTCAAGCATTGGCAGATTCCAAGATACCAAGCTACTTGCTCCTTGTGCAAAGGAGCTTCTGAAGCAGGAGGCTTCAACCAGGCCTCCCCAACCCGTCGTCCTCTGGATGCGTTGGGGCTGCCAGTTCCAGAATTCCCAAGCTGGCCTGGCTAAACAGTCCATATTTTTCCTACTCTTACTGCTCTAAAAAATTTCTGCAATAAAGCCCCAGCCCTTCTCTGATGGGTTCAAGGAAGGTCCTGAGCCAGATGTCAGGTGAATTCTTCTCCTGCCTTTTTACCCAAAGCAGACTTTGCCCTGGTGACCGAACTTGAGAATTTCATGGGAGAAACGATCTGAGGACCAAAACAAGGACCGCGGAACCATTTTGCCCAAAAATGGTTTCGATGCAATTCAGAGCAATCACTTTGCTTTGAACACAGCCTTATTGCATCTCCCAGACATCCTCCCTGCTAACTGTCACCAGCTCAATGACAACGCTAGTTTCACAAGGCAGGATCTGCTATTCTTCCATTCACGTTGAAGCTTATCACATACGCAACAACTGTATTCAGCCAGGGACAGACAAACGAGTCGGGCTTCGTGCACAGAGAAGACAGGACTGCCCCCTCATGGTAAGTTTTTCCTTTTGGGTTTCAACTGGTTTGCCTTTCTCGAGTTAGACAGAACAAAGTCTCGACAGCCTCCCCTAACGGATGCTCTTGATGAGCTGGGAATTCCGGGGCAGCCCCAATGCAGCGGGGCACCGGGTTGGGGAAGGCTGGGTCAAGGTTGTTCACTCACATTGCAAGGGCGGCTAAATGACTGAATCACCCGGGGAAATCCAGATTATGTTTACACCAAGTCAGACCAACCAAGAGTGGGAGGTAGACAGGAATTTGAGTAAGTCAGAAGAAGAGTATGAGATGTTTTCTGGAAAAGATCTCATGAATGTCAGAAATATACAGCAATCAGCTATCTGGACACAGAGCTTCTGACCAAAAGAGCTGCTGTTTCACCAACCGCTTTTCCCTAACCTCCCCGTTCCACTGTATTTGGTTTATTACATGGTAAGCTGATCCTTCAAGGTAAATAGCACCCTTAAAATATTCGAGGCGCTTCCTGCTTTAGAGCAACCCGCCTTCATAGCTGTCAAGGCTCAGCTTACGTGGAAAAACTGCCAGACAGACTTTCTAACCTGCTTCAGCTTCAGCTCTCAGGAGTAAGTGAGCTTGCTGTAGAGGGCAGAAAATCTACTTTGCTTCCGAGCATTTTAAAAGCCAGGCTACTCTTTGGTCAGTGACTGGAAACCCTTTATGGACTGAAAGTGGGGAAAAAACGAACTGGTGATTTATGGGTTTGATGGTCAGAAAGGGTAGATTATGGAAAGAAGGGAGTTAGGGTGTAACTTCGAGAGAGGATAAAATTCAAATGCATTTTTAATTGTTGCGAAGAAGATTGGAAGCCATTTCTTTATACTGATTTTTTTCTTTTTCCTTGTTTTCTATTTCTCTCCTTTCTCTTTCACTTCTATATTCTTTTCTCACCACTTTTATTTTCTTTTTCTTTTAACTGTTTTTATTCTGTTAAAGTTTTTTCAATAAAATTAATTAGACAATAAAAAACAAAAGCCAGGCTGCTCTTAGGGTTTCTGAAATTTTCTCAGGACAGAAACGGGTTTCTTTGCTTAGACTGCTATCACGTTAGCTGACATGCACTCAAGTGCGTAAAGCGGGGGCCTACCTTGAAGTACTCCCTCCTGATCTGCTTGCTTCGCCGCCTTTCCTCATTCTGCCAGATTACCGGCTGCACCTCCGGCCAGTGCGGATCATCCGGGTGGCCCTTCTGGCCTTCCAGAGACTACGGAGAGAAAACAGCCTGTAGGCCTCGACAACGGCTTTGTATCTGTTAAGCTTACTGGGATCCCCCCCAAATCTCTGATGAAAATGAGTGACGTTTTTCCTGAACTAGCCTTCCTCAAGCATTTGGCTCCAGGTGGGCAATCGCCAGCCTTCATCCGGCTGGGAAAAGCGATCGTAACGAAAGCTCTGAAGGCCACTAATATCTTGCACGCAGGGCCCTCACTCATGCTCCCTGGCTTCATGTTTAGGGTGCAGTAAATTGACTGCCTAGAGCTACTAAGAGCTTCCACTTCCAACCAAGGACATGGATTGCCTTTGCAAAGGTTGAAAACAGAACAAAAACAGGTGAGCAAAGCAATTAGCATTTCCACTGAGACTATGTTATATAATTGGCGATGGTTAATTCTGCTTCATTTTCTTATTAAATCCAAGTCATACATTCATTGCATACTTACAGGAAAAACTAGCTGACCAGCTGATCTATTGATACACAGATTGATCTACTGATTTATTCACTGATAAATAAATATGGATGCAGTTCACTAATTCACCCACCTACCAAACCTAGCAAGGTGCAATTGGTTTGGATTAAAAATCAAGAAATGCCACAAGCAGTATGAATCTTGAGGCAATCGGCAGGGTTACAATGCAGATCTTACAATGCTGCGACAGGGCAGCGCCAGCCATTGTTTTCACCTTGAGCATTAGTGACTGAAGGGAAAATGCATAAACATGTCCAAGAAAACAAAGCAAATTGTGAATAAATTGCGGCGCGGACAGTTCTGAATGCCCCTAAGGGTCCCATATAACCTCTCTGTTACGCGAGCTGCATCAACTGCCCGTTTGCTTCCGGGTCCAGTTCAAGGTGTTGGTGATCACCTTTAAAGGCCTTCATGGCGCAGGTCCAGGTTACCCGAGGAGCCGTCTCGCCCGTTACATCCACCCTTCCCGCTCGGTCCGGCAGAGGGGGCACGCTGCGGACCCCACCAGTCAGGGAATTTCGACTGGCGGGGTCTAGGAGGGGTCCTTTTCCGCCGTGGCCCCCGCTCTGTGGAACCACCTACCACGCGAGGTGTGGTGCGCCCCCACTCTCACGGCCTTCGGGAAGAGCGTGAAGTCCTGGCTACGCCAGACGGCCTGGGGGCCGGATGGGGGCTCGCACCATTGTAACTGACTCGTGGGGTAGTTGATTCTACCACCCCCCCGGTCATCTTGAATGTTTTATACTTTTTATGCATAGAGTCTTTCTATATAGTTTGATTCTTTAACTAAATTAACGTGGATATTTATATTTTTAACTGTTTTTGAACTTTGATTTTAATTTGAGCCGCCCAGAGTCACCGTCTGGGGGAGATGGGCAGTATACACATGTAATAAATAAATAAGCCCAGGGAAGCCTTGGGGTCGCATGTCTTCATCCAGCATTACTGAACGTTTCTAGAATTCCCAAGCTCCCCTCACAGCAGCCTGATCGGTATTTGGGGCAGTTATCAGATGCTTCATAACGACAGAGCCCTGCACAGTCGGTCACAAGGGCTGCAGATGGTGCGAAGGAATCCCACCCAATTACCCGGTGCCAGGCGCACTTTCAATGAACGAGGCAGCTCACCGCAACCAAAGCGATAAAGAGCGATCAAATATGGGAGCGGAGAAACATTTGTAACGAACGAGCAAAACAATTACAGCTGTCCAGGGAGAGACGCTCGATGCTTATGCATCTCTGCATTACCTGCCAGCCGCAAGGGGAAGACGGAGAATGTGCTTCATCTGCAGAAAGGCTGCACAATAAATACACACGTTGTTAGCTTCAAAAGACACCCCTTTCTTTTCCTTCCTTCCTTCCTTCCTTCCTTCCTTCCTTCCTTCCTTCCTTCCTTC